CTGATTTTGTAACTTAGCAAAATGCTGAAAAAATCGAAGATTACTATCCTTCTCCGCGTGGTGGCGTGCTGCACATGGTGCAGCACGCGGTCCGCAATGGGTTAACTTAATTTCGATTTAATTTTTCTAAAAATTGTATCTTTGTTGGAAATCGTCACGGCAACACAATTCAATTTCGAAGTGACCAACAATTCATGGACTCCTTTTTGCACTTTGTCTGCTTTCTGAAATCATGTGCCGGACGAGCGGTACCATTTCGCTATGAACAAATAGTACTCGGGAGACGACCTATCCCCTGGCTGGGTCGATGGTGGCAGGATCCACATTTAAGCTATGACATTGTCGCCATAAGAGATTTCGAAGAATGCGGCCTAGTGCCGCGCCGACCAGTAGATAAAGAACTTCTTGTGGTGGCCTTACCTCCTTTCAGATTCTTCCTTTTGCGGATAAACGCTCAAAACAGTCGAGGTAAGTTTCAGTTTGTCTACAATCTCTTTCAGCGTATAGTACCAACAGCTCATTATTGCTGAAACGTTTAGCTTGTTAGAGCGTTTATTACCACTGACATCGAAATCACCAGATCTAAACTGCTGAGAACAAACCGGACAGATGGCGTTTGGTGAAGGCTTACCATCGAAGTTTCCAAAAAAGTTTGGCGAGCTCGAGCAGCTGATCTCTTGGAATCAAGAAGCAGCGATGGATCGAAAAAACAAATTCCAGCACTCCATTTGTTGCGGAAGTCAACGACTTGACCCTTAGACTACAACTTTTTTAAAATTAAGTACCGATGTGTTTTGTGTAGTAACTATCGCTCCTAGCAACAACTAATCATCTGTAGAAATTTGGCTGACGTACGCTGGATTTGACCTGGGATTTTGATCCAGGGACTATGCGCGCGGTAGCGGCCCCTCTTGTCACCACACCATCACCGCTCGAATGAGCATTTTGAAATGTAAGCTGGCAACTAAATTAACAATTACGAATACTCAAGCTCCATATTCCCACTGTCGAACACTGCGTCAAAATCTGTGTCTTCATAGTACTCTTCTGATTTCACTTCTGCGACATCGGAACTGTCAAAATCTTGGAAGTTGGAATCTCCAACGCTGTCGTGGAACGTCGTATACCCCTATTGGTCCGGCTGATAGGAAGCCCATCTTTCATGTTCTTTGGCGTATGTTGCACCTGATATAAATGTAGGGGACACCAAAATCACTAGCACAATTGGTAGCTAACTGGTAGCAGGGTCAACCGTCCGTTGGACAAAGTCCAACGCGACGACGAGAGTAATGCCGAGAGTGAACGTACGCACGGAGACACAGACGGCTCGCGGGTGGCGAGAGTGAATGCCGGCGCGGAGAGCGGTCAACATCGGTCCAACGTCGCTCCAATATCGGTCCAACGTAACGGTTAACGTAACGGTTGACCCTAACTGGTAGCGCACTTGCCCGGAAAGCGAGAGGTGCGGGTTCTAGTCCCGCCTGGGGCGAAAGTTTTGTTCACAACCCAGCATTCTTGTGAAACTAGCACAGTTATTAATAGTGTGAGAATCTTGAAAATTACATTCTTAGGAGCTGTGTACGTTGATCGATGACGTGCGGTAAATGTGCCTTCAGTTTATTCACTATCCTCGCTCTTGGATCGCTCTTAGGCTGTGACGATTTAGTTTTCCAGGGTAAAATATTATAGGACATTTCTAATGTAGTGTGCACCATTCTGCCATCAAGCGACACTCTAGTTCCAGTGTAAGTCCCAATACAGGGTGGCTACTAAATATTGGCGCATAAATTGTTGACCATATTTTTAAAACGAGAGGCTTTTACATCTTCAGAGATTTATCTTTATATACCTTGTAACGTGGCAGTACATTGCTTAACACGTTGCGTACCGGCGCCATTTGCGGCTTTCCCGCGCGCGTGGCCAAGCGATTTTTTTTCGGCTTGCGGCATGCATCACCACGTGATGCACTTGGCCACAGGGGACTGTCTTTTTTCCAGACAACCTGTATTTCCCTCTTGTTGGAGTTAAAATCTTAGAGCACATGTTTTCGAATATGGAGAATAACATAAATGCATGTAATTCGTAGGGTAGGAAATATTTTGTTGTTTACACATCTTCTTTAGAATTATTTGATATTCCTTATACAAATGATCTTGTAGTCTTCTTGCTATTAGCGTGATGCTATTTAGACTCTAAATTTCTACAAACTGAAGCCTTTCTTGATGTAAAGGGTTACGATCGGGTGAAAGGTGCACTTGCTTCCAAACATCATCTTTTGTGATACCTTTGTCAAATCGAGGATTATTGAGTCGATACTGGACGGACAGACTCCACGCAAGCAACATCGAAACATCAACTGCGGACAGCCCCTGAACCTAAGCGAGAACACCGAAGTCGATGCGTGGAATGCTACAAGAAGTTATCGAAAGAACACGGTGCCCCTTATGCCCGATCGAAACCTTGCAAGAAAACACGAAATGTTCTAAATGTGGTAAATACTACTGCCTGGATTGTTACCAATTGTATCACAAAAAGTGTACGGGAACTTTAGAATGATCGCATAGACTGCCATCACTTTCATCGCAAAGAATGTACGGGATCTTTAGCATGACTGCTAGGTTATCACTTTCTAGGGAAGTCTTTGATTCATTTTTATCCTGAGCAATGTACGGAAATCTTAGTATAAGCGCTAGTCTCTATCTTAGTATAATTTCAGTGTAAATGCCCACTTATCAATGTGTTTCACGAGTTATCAGTTTCATCACACTAAGTTTACGGGCTCTCTACTATGTTCACTCTAATTGTTCAACTTTTGAAGAAGTTCAAAATTTTCATTTTCATCGAAGTACATGGCCGGGTCTTTAGAACGATTACTATCATTGTTATCAATATCACTGCAAGAAGACTACGGGAAGAACATTACAATAAAAGTTGTTATTGTGAAAGTCGTTTTTCAAAAAATGGTGTCTGAACCAATCATATTTTCGTAGTTGGTGAAGTCCCAGGCAGATATGTTATTCAGCATATTCGAAAACATATGCTTGCAGATTTCGACCAGTATTGTTCCATAAAGAAGATAGAAATTTGGGTTTGAATGTGATGCATCACCATGTGATGCACGTGGCCACGCGAGCAAGTAACTGCGTGCATCACCATGTGATGCACTCGGTACGCAATGTGCTAAAAAAGTGCTCGAGATGGCCTCCTTTGGTAGCGATACAGGCTTGAAGTCTCTTTCAACTGACATCACTGTGGGCCGCAAGTAGCTGACGTCAAGCTCCTTCCACGCCTCCTCCAAGGAAGCCTTCAGGGAGTCCAAACTTCGACGTTGCTCAGAAGGCATCTTCTGCTTCAAAGAAACCCCACACCGCCAAATCAATTGGTTCAAATCGGGCGACTTAGATGGCCAAACATTTTGTGCCCGGTAACTTGGAAAATGACGGTCACAGTTCTCCAACATTGATTTTGCGGCATGTGGAGGCGCCCTGTCTTGCTGAAGAATGCAATGACGTTCGCTGAAGGTCAAAAGAGTCCTTGGAAGAAGGGCATTACGTGAAAATTGTTTCCGGGTAGATCTGGGCGCTGGCTTTGATGTATTCATCCACAAAGACAAGCGGTGTCATGGTTTCAGAAGTAATTCCTGCCCAAACCATGACAAATTTGAAAAACGGTTCCTTGTGTGTACACAAGGTCGAGCAGAATGTCTGCTAGCCAGATCCAACAACTGCCTGTCGTTTTGCAAATCGTGCGCCACTTCTGGTCTGAAGATCTACTCACGTCACGCCGACGTCAGCTACTTGCGGCCCACGGTGATGTCAGTTGAAAAGAGACTTCAAGCCTGTATCGCTACCAAAGGAGGCCATCTCGAGCACTTTCTTTGGTAATGAATTTTCATGTTTTATTGTATATGAAAATAAACTTCTGAAGATATGATAGCTTCTCTTTTTTGGAAATATGATAAATAAACCATGCGCCAATATTTAGTAGCCACCCTGTACAGCGGTAGTGCCTTTTACTACGGAGGCGATGCACATGAGTACCACCAGTAGTCAAAGGGGGAACCGCTGACGATGCCGAGAGAACTTTCATATTATTATATAAAATAACGCGAAGTTGCCATCTATGATCATTAAATAATTTTAGCAATGATTTTCACAAATGAATGAAGAATGACTTCACTATCCCCTATTAACCCATGACCCACTCACTGTATGTACTAGTCTCATCCGCGGGCGCCGGCTGAGCTTACGGGTTTTACAGTGGCGCGCAGAGTCACAGCGTGGCTGCCTAAACCAGCAGTGATCTTGCTCCTGCGGGTGATCTATGTAGCTGAGAGAACACAAAAATCTCAACTGGTGCGAAAGAGTACGAAACCTGTGCCAGAGGCGTCGGCACGGAATGGATGCGGTAGTACCTGCGCCAGGCTGCCTTGCGCCGAAGTAATGTGATATATTTGTCACAGATGTAAAATTAACCAGTTCCTAGCGAATATTCAGAAGCAAATTCTTGAAAAAAAAACGTCCAGCCCGTTTATTCAGAAGTAGGATTATTTGCTGCATTGAAATATTGAATCGGGCCAAAAAAAAATGAAGCATGATGAGAGGATTGATAGCGCAGAGGCAAAAACACTGGTATTGAAGGTTTACTTGTATCACACCTCACACGACGTAAATAATCACGCCGTCTCTTTTATCTTTGCCTCCTAAATCTGCAAATGGTCAAGTTTACGAACTTTATTTAAGTAAAAATCGATACATATCGCTTTCCCAACACAATGACAGATGTAGGAAGGAAATCTTAGCTTTTCTCAAGTACACTGTCTCAGGTCTCGGAACAAAAACGGACACTCTGAAATTCATTGGACTGAACAGTAGCGTAACACAAGCATATTCCAGTGCGAATTAAGCAGGGCTGTTCGTTATATACGATGTAATGAAGACGACAACTTGTAAAGTGAAGTAGATGCACAATTCATGCTGTAGGAGATTCCATATTCGGCGTTATCCTTTGAGTTTCTCTTGCCACTCATCAAAGAGCTCAACTGGATTGTCGCGTCCCTTCTCCTGAATATCTTCAGATCACTTCCAGATTAAAAACTTACTATGGTACACCACCAAATCGAAAGCATGAGTTCTGAATATATAAAAAGATAACGATATTTAAGGAACTCAAATTTGAATATTCCTTGAACAAAATGGGCGAAATGTGAAATTCATTTCTTTTCCGTTTTATCGTTTCTTGAAGGAATGATACGAATAAATAAAGGATAAAGCATTTGCCGTTGATCAATCCCTTTTTGGGATGCGGCACGCATTCTACTTCCATTTGTACATTCGCAGTGGCATTTGAATGCGATGTGGCCTATACAATGACTTGCGGGGGCCAGCCGATGTTCAAGTCAGTGTTTTTATCCTCCCAGACAAGTCTGGTACCAATTAACCGACCCCGGAGGGATGGAAGGCTTGGTTGGCCCGGGCGACTCACGACCCAGGATTTGATCCCGGGACCGCTCGCGTGGTGAGCGCGCCACTTGTCACTACACCACTTCCGCCCATCGTAAATAATGAAGGATATTCCATCCGGGGAAAAAAAAGCAGTGCACCAGGGAGCGTGCACCGCACGTATCAGTTAGCTGATGTCAGGGAAGCGAGATGTGGCGCTCCTACGACCTAATGTGTTGCTGAGCAGGACTTCGAAAGCGTTCCACCCCCAAAAGCGATCTGCTCACTGATGTACTTGTTGATTTGGACGAGCTGCGTGGCCAGCAGCAGCGCAAATGGCATCTCGATAACAGCGTTGTTCGGTATGGTGCCATCAAAGGCGTCGCGGTGAACTCGTTCCTATGTCCGGTTTCTGAGCTGTTACCTGTTCACGAAGGAAAACCAACGGTCAGAGAAGGGGGTCCCGTTTTGCGTTTCGTTGACCGGAATTGTCTGCTTTTTTCGGCTAACGGCGTACCATTGAGCACCACCACGTCACACTAAACCCTTCTTGAACTATCGCAATCGCTGTCTTCAACTTCAACCAATTAAGCAGAAATCAGAAAGATTCCAAAAGGGAACCTACAGGGGGACGCCAGTAAAACAAATCTGGTCTCCTTCCAAGGTTGCAACTAATCAGTTAAACATTGGTAAATCAACCTCAATACTCCCAATTGCAAATTGAAGAGGACATGCCAATCAAATACATACTTCGTATAAGCCTGCTACACCCACGACATCGGACACATTTGTCACGGGAACATGGATGCGCGGTTCAAGCTAAACGAGGTGCTCGACGGACCGTGGACTATTACGACGTTATTTGAGACGCTTTCAGGAAAGGATCCTGCACATTTAGAGCTACTGCCTTTGAGAGGCTACCCATCACCTAACCAATTGAAGAAACTATGTAGCAGCTTCCGGCTGGAGCGCCGGCGCCTGTAGTCGCGGACGCCATGCGTTGTCGGACTAAACTGATGTGATATTCGTGCTTCTATGAGTTGTGACTAGTACTTCCTGAACAACATCATTAGTGCTAAACCACAGATCAAGGGCAAAAAATTGTCTTGAATTGAAAAATCCCGGCACGGTTCTTGATGAGTGGGGCAGTAAAGGGAAAATAATGCCAAAGTTTTTATTCAGGAAAAGACAACACTACTTATTGCACAACCTATAGCTGGTCTGGCAGATAGCAAAGGGCGACGATCGAATTTACATCTGTTTCGTTTACCCTTGATTTTTTCCCTTGAGGTATAAATGCTGGTGTAATTTCTAACATTAGAAAACATTTTTTGAAACTTGGAGCCAATGAGTCGGTTCCACGCAGCGGATACGCAAAAAATGCCTCTTCGCCAAAATGATAATATCCTCATAATCCTGTTTTGTTCGCAAAATCGAACTAGAGAACTAAGAAAAATCAATCACTCCACTCAAATTTAATATTTCCTATTTCTACATTCCGCTATTCACAGAAATCAATAGCCGGTGATGCTGACAATACCGAAATGGTGCAACAGAGTGAAAATTTCGCGCTCTGTTGATTATACATCGTAGTGTACCTGAACTTGATTCCGAGCGTCTGCGATTAGAATGGAGCCATCGGGATTCAGCACCTTCAGCGCAGGAATCGTTGGCACTTCATATTTAGCCAGAAATTCCCTGAAAGGAACAGGTTACTGTTCTGGCAAAGGCTATGACAGCTGGATCAAAGGTTAAAATCAAGTTGTTCACTAAGAGATATCATTTATTCTATGGGTTCCAGTCATAGAAGCACTGCAGGAGATCAGGTTAATACGAGTTAGTGTAGATGAGCGCGAACCAGATGTTTGGTGCACAGCACATCGATGTGCTTCCGCCGTTGAGTGAACAACCGTGCTAGACGTCCGCCGTTGTTGAGATAAAAATGGCGGAAGTACTATTATTCCACACCTTTCGTTCGATGTCTCGTTCATTGCGCTCCCCAAAATACATTGGTGACAATTTCTACGGGCGAGCGGGCGACACCCCTAAAATTCAATACCTTCGCCCAGATTCTAAATTTTTAGCGGTGCCATATTATCCGGCATGCATGGTAGTACTTATGATGGCCATCTTCTTTGAACATCTTTCACAGTGAGCGTTTTACAGAAAGAAAGCTCGTAAGTGCTACCTCAAGGTTAAGCTTAACCTTCTTTATTTACAGCTGTTTTCTGTTTGCAATAAGCTAGGGCAATGGCACAACTTTTGGCAAGAAGGGATTAGTGCTCAGCCCTATTTACGGGCTATGGAGAGGAATATTGGAATTTTCTGAGGGCGTTCCAAAGTTTCTCTTTGGCTGGATGGGGAGATTTCCTTTTTTTGCAACCACTGAGCATTTGTTCGAGCAAAAGAAAATTCAAGGTTTCGCATTGGGTTCTCACTGTTTTGGCCAACACAAAAGTAGAAAGGACGTAATTTTTGGGGACACCAAAAATCCTCGGTCGCCAATGTGAAAGGGTCGCAGACACCAGTTTGAAGGGAAAAGCTTGATCCCATCAGGATCCATTCATCAATGCGCATGCGTATTCGCCTTACTAATGTCTTTGAGAAGGTAAACGGGCTGTTTTTAATAGTTTGCACATTTAGTTCCACCCCCTCTTCACTAATACTTACAGTCATCATCACTTTCAATTCGATATGTATGGGTGGGTTTCGCAAGCCGGTGCACACCCTTGGCCAATTTTCCGATTTTTGAGCTGTTTCGGAAGCGCGTAAGCACCAGGCTCATTTACGCTCCGTTTTACAGATCTATTTATGCGCAACCAATTGATAAATTGATCCGAGTATGATCAAATTTGAGAGAAGCCTGTGATCTCGGAAGAAATGTCACGACATGCAAGCAGGACCATGTGAAGAACGTCAGTGAATATAATCAAAAAAGAATAGAACTAGAATCGCATAAAAACCTCGCCCTTAGGGCTTAAGGAGATATGGGAGAACCTGCTGAACACGACACTGATTGAAATAATAATTTAGATTGCCACTTGAGAGCCGCTTTGTTATTATGTGAGCCCGATGGTAAGGAAGACGAAGGCCCAAAGACGTCTGCAGAAATTTGGAGAGCCACAGGTGATCGAATTAGAATAAGGTACCACTTGAGCTTTCGCATTGCCACTGGAGAATAAAATGCATTTAAATTAAGAGAAAGTAAGAATGAGAAACCGTCATGGCAACGCAACTAACTAAGGCTCCTCTTAAACGCACCCGTATGTAGTAGCCTTTTCCATCAAGACTATCACCTGGAACGTCCTAATAAGTTCGAATTATGTATATTGAGGACTTACTGAATTCTCTCGTCGCCAAAAGGAATTGCCAGCCAGCCACCGCAGTGCTCCGTTAGGTATTCCTAAACAAAAACAGATTCAATGTACTATACACCAAAGGTAATTGACTCCTCTACTGCTTGTCGGAAAATGTTTGGAAAAACGCTTCGAAGACCATGACAATTTCTAAAAACATTTGGGGCACAATAATATGCCTACCCTAGTACCTAGACCAGCAGCAATAGTTGATAGCGCCGCTGCAGGCAACAGTCATTCAAAGAATAGGGATTCATGCCATTCAGTCGAAATGAAAATATACCCTGAGTAGCGTGTACACTATCTTTGTGCGAACTCACAAGTGTTCACTAAGAAGTGCTTTTTCTGCGAGACAGGGTGATCTTGAACAGTCACTCACTCACCCAACGATAGATCATCACTGAGATGCATCACTCTCGGTTCTCTGAGGGGCGTATAATAAATTGAAATTGGTCGCCGCTAGAAGAAAGCAGAACCGCTTAAAGTTGAAGCCGCGAGGAGGCAAATTATGGTTACTTAATGATACTAGGTTATGAACAAACTTTCGCCCCAGGCGGGACTAGAACCCGCACCTCTCGCTTTCCGGGCAAGTGCGCTACCAGTTACGCTACCGGGGCACCATTTCATCTTAACTCAGCCTTTCATGGTATATTTACCACAACGTATCAGCATTCGGTCAGCCGACATCGGCGGTGAACCGCAAGGCCGAAAGCTGCCCCGCACGGCTGAATGCTTCCGCCCACTGCTATTCACGGCATATCTACAGTACCTTATCATAATTCACAAGCCCTGGGTACTGGAACAGTCCCAAACTCACGTAGCACCCTTACTTCCCTCCTAATTTCAACGTTGATCCGAGTCTCATCGGTGCTGAGTCATCAACGTGTCGCTCTGCTTTGGCTGTCCGATAAAATGGGGTCGGCGTCTAGAGTCCCAAGGCAAGACTGACCTATTCGGTGGGAGCTAACAGCCACGGACAGAACTCAACGCCGCAAGTATGGCTCCTTCGAGCAGCTACGAGCGCATCTTTCTGAGCAAAACGCGCCTTGTACCGCTCCCTCGAGAGGCCTGCCTCCCTTTGAAATACTGGATATGATTTGCCTTCATTGACCTCAACCATCATAACATCCGCCTTTACGAATTGGTATAACTTGAAACGAGCTTATAGTTAGAGGTTTTGGCCTCTTCTCCGTCAACCTTACAAAGTGTATGGCACACCGTATCCGACTAGCCTTCAGTTCACAAATTTTAGGCTGCTTTATAATGTGTTGCCGTTACACGGCAATCCCGCTTTGTTCTGATCGGCTTGAGATGGCGACGTCTTGGTGAAAACTCTCCCTTACCTTCAGGTCTTCATCCTCGCGATCTCGTGACACAAGAACAATCTCCAAATTCTTGCCTGATTCTTTCAATGTTTTGTAAAACCTCTGAAATCGAACGATTTTCAAATACATGCGTCTCGATGATCTCGGAGAAATTCCTACGAATAGCTGAACACAGTCAGCAGGCACTCACAGCGAGCTTAGGAGTGAACTGACGACATGACGGACACCACATCGCCGAGAAGTACAGGGCGATCACCTGAAGTCAAGATCACTTCATTATATAAACCACAAATTTGGTGTGTCGGTTTGTATGTCTGTATGTCTGTCTGTCCGTCCGCAAAATGAAGTGAGTGATAAGGCAAGCTAATGGAATAAACAAACCGCTAACAGAATCCAATAGCTCGAAGGGCTACACTTCGTGATTTTGATGTCATGATTATGATAACACTCACACGGCTATATAAACACCGATCGAGCAAACTCAGTCTCATTCTACATGGTGCTGCCGTGGCGAGCTGGAAGGGAGGGCACAAGAGGGAGGGAGGAAAGACCAAGATCGGGAGGAAAAGGGATGTGCAGGAGGGGGGAGGAGGGAGGGGGGAAAAGGGAATGGGCAGGGAGGGGAGGAAGGAAGGAGAGAGTGCACCGCTTTCAAGATTACGGTTCGATCCGGTGTTGAGGTATTATTGCAACGTGATTGTGATAATACCCAACGGCTATATAAACACCTACTTAGTACACTTTCAGTCATTTCACAAGGTGCTGCAGTGGCAGCTGGAGAGCAGTGGGGGAGGAGGGGAGGATAAGGTGAGGAGGAGGAACGCCAAGCTTCGCAGGGAAGGGAGGGTCCGGCGGTTGCTGGAGGACAAATCTAATTAGGGTGAAAAAGCAGTGAGCTTTAGGAGGTGAACCTTCCTCAAGATGATCGGTGCACTCCACTTCTATTTAAAGGAGGAATTCACGATAAGAATGAAGGTCGAAGAAGGGGAATTGACCTAGTTGAGGACCCACGGACCTCCTGAGGGTGCGAACTGACGCGCAATTGGCATCGAAAAATTTGACCTCGGCGACCTAGCATGGCTCACTCTTGGCGCGGTTGGCGGGTCCGCCCACCGACCATCTGATCACTCGCCGCAGGTCTATACGTGGCGAGTGATTAGATAGCAGAGAGCGTAGTGTTGAAGAGGGCACAGCGATGAGAGTCGCATCAATGCTCAAATCAACGGGCAAGGAAGGGTCCCATTTCTCGGGTTCTGGGCCGTTTCTCATGGTTTTCCTTCTTTCGTGTACCACTCACCATCCCTAAGTTGGAAGTGGGTTGCTTCCATCGTGAATTCTGCCTTTGAAGCCACAACCGTACTTGAATGCAGTTTCGCCACCATAATTTTGCAGCACGCAGTCGATGCACAGGTCTGCGTTTTATCCTCCAGACTATGTTTTTACCAGTCCAACAACCCAAGAGGGATAGAAAGCTTAGTTGACCTGCGCGAGACTGTATCGAGATATGACTTATACGGGAGTCAAATCTGGGAATCTGGGAAGTGGAGCCATTTGCCACCACACCTTCGCCGCGAAGTGCCAAATCGAGATTAACACGTTGACGACATCGCGTGTTTTGGCATTTTGCACCGCGTGGGACAGGAGCGATTTTGCGAGCGCGCCGTCCTCACCTTACTTCCGCTTATTTTTTGTTTAAAATGCACAACAACTTGAATCTCATAGAATTATTTCGGCAAGGATGAAAGCATAAAGGTTAACTATATAAATAGCAGTAGATTTTTGTTTAGAAGAACGCATAATGACCACGAAGAAGCAAAAAACATCACTTTCGCTGCGAATGAAGTTAAAAGCATTTATACCTAAGTTCTTCCATCAAATACAAATATCTTGAAACTCACAGAGTTTTGTATTAACTGCTTCTACAATCTTTCATATGAATGTTTACGACAGTGAAAGGAATACTAGGAAAGAATTGAATGAAAGTTTTGTGCGTTCAGAAAATCTTTGCTAAATCAAGGGATATTTGACCACTCTGGCTGCCATGTGGTTTATAGTTATGCTAATGTATTATCTATAGAATGAATACAAAAAACTCGAGAAGAAGGAGCGCAAGCACAATAAAAATGAATGACATAGTTCTGACGCGCATGCGCGTCAGAATGTCCGATGCGGTGCAAAATTCTGACGCGCATGCGCGTCAGCCTGTCGTCAACGTGTTAAGAAAGAGAAATGGGCGTAAAAATAGTATTCACTTAGGCAGTTCAGGAAGTGTGTAATAGAGAAAGCCGGAAATGTCCTACAACAAGCGCTTGCAAAACCTTAATGCTTGTTTCGCTTGGTTGAGGGAGTTTTTGAATGGAACCAGTGCGAAAGGGTGTTCACAAAAATCAAAAGTATATTGGAAAAGGGTCGCAAGAAAAACTGCGTGAGAGCAAGGAAGAAGGGCAGCAAAAGAATTGCTGAATAAAAAAACCAAATAAATAATTAAATAAATAAA